GATGGGTGCTGCTTGCTTAATAAGATATAAAAAGATGATATTGAGTGAACTGGGTTTCTTTTTTTTTTTAAAGATATCTCTTCATTTGGTCAAGGCCTTCACTCCCATCCCGTGGCTTCCCATCAGCACTGACTAACGTCACACAATTCATCAGGTGATAACTTAAAAAGGAGTTTGGTTTGCATAAGATGCAAGAAAACTCCTTGCAAAGCAATGCCATAATTTTGATTCAGATAAACTACTTCTTAAATAGCTAATTTTTCTTCAGCCTTTGGAATAACATGGTGTCTTACAATTACATGGTATCTATAAATTACTGCAATGTTTTCTAGTTACCTCTATTTCAAATAAAGGATGTCTCGTTATTTTGGGAAAAGAAACAAATGTCTTTGTCCTTGTGCCAATGAAAATGAGGTGATCTCAAATTCAGACAGATTGAAGATCTGCTTCTTAAAAAGGTGACTCCCTAAAACAATATTAAATAAAAAGCAGGCGAGGCATAGTGGCTCATGCCTGTAATCTCAACATTTTGGGAGGCCAAGGCGGGTGGATCACCTTAAGTCAGGAGTTCGAGATCAGCCTGGCCAACATGGTGAAACCCCATCTCTACTAAAAATACATTAAAAAATTAGCCGGGCCTCGTTGCGTGCGCCTGTAATCACAGCTACTCAGGAGGCTGAAGCAGGAGAATCGCTTGAACCCAGGAGGCGGAGGTTGCAGTGAGCCGAGATCGTGCCACTGCACTCCAGCCTGGGTGACAGAGTGAGACTCTATCTCAAAAAACAAGGTGCAGTTAGAAATTGGAAGTATGCTTTCCATTTCACCAGAACTCCTATTTGGAATTTTGCCAGTAAGTTAGAATGTTCAGTATCTGGTGACTAGAGGATTTTAATACAAACCGTTTAGAAGAAAGAATGAAACATGGCGTTGCTTTCTAATATATGACGTCAACTCCCTAATTAAATTGTCTTTTCTGAAGAGCAGTCAGACATGTTGGTATGAACCCAATCAAAGTTATGTGACTTTACATCTGGGCTTTTTAATTGCCACTTTGATGGAATGTAATAGATAGTTTCACTCACGGATCTTGCTTTGTTATCTCTAATCTGTCATTTTGATTTGGTAATATACATGATGTCTCTAGCTTCAATTCCATTCCCTTTTCAATTTACATTTGAGGTTTAGACATGTGTGAATTTGAAATAAATTCATGTTGGATTTAGTATTCTTCGACTTTTGACTAGCATTAGCCTTTCCCTGAAACACTTGCTATTAATAAGCTACAATTTCAACACTAGTTCATTGCACAATAATTGTAAGATAATGTACCTTTTTTGTAAGGTAATGTACAATTATTGTTGTTTGTACCTGCCCAGGATCCTTTTCCCCTTCCTGAGACAAAACTCACATTCTCTTCCATCTTAGTCTAGGTGGCTGGGGTAGGTGAGCCCCTCCTCCTGATGCCAGGACAGGGCATGTGAGGAGTATTGTATCAGTGTATTGTATCTCTCAAGGATGGGCAGAGTTAAGAGATGAGAAAAAGAAAGAGCCTTAATTACTTAGAGCCTGGATCCAGCTGGCCCAGAATCCAGTCTACCTTGGAGTCCCTAATTATGTAAGCTTACGTCAGTTTCAGTTAGTTTTCCTATTACTTACAATAGACAGAGTTCTCACCGTAACAAATAGCCTTAGAATATATTTGTTTGGCAGTACCTCAAGAAAGATATCCCTTTAGTTTATCTCTATTTTGCTAAGTTCTTGAAAGTAGATATAAGTCACTTACTACAGAAATTTCAAAGATGACCCAAAAAAGCACATTCAAGGGCTTGTTGTTTCTACTTCTGGGTTGGTAACGCTTACTCACACATTACCGTCAGGAAATCTTATTTGTAAGCCAAAGTTTCTATTATCAGACGTGTTTCTGAAATCTGGGTTTGCATTTCATTTTATGTTTTGTTACTTTGTCTCCTTTTTCTAAACTTTCCATGCATCTGCTTTAACATCTCACAAGAGGGAGAGGGAAAGTGGACTGTCTGAGATGAACCTCTTCAGTAGGAAAAAATAATTTCACTAAGCCTTGTCCTCCTATATTGCACCACAATTTACATTACTGTCCTTCTCCTTCCTGTTCCTGTTTTTATGTAAGAATTTACTTTTATATAATAATTTCTTTGATTACTAAGACACATTAATTAAACTGCTCTTGGCTGTAAGCAGAAAACCCCAACTCAATTGACTGAAGCAATAAGAAAAAATCTATTTCACATACCAAGACGTCTAAGTGGGAATGACTTCATGGCTAGTTAATTCAACAACTAATTGATGGATGTCTTCTCTTTTTACTTTGCTGTCTTTGGGAAAGTGTCTGTCATTTAGCAAGATGCCCGAAGCGGTGCTAGGCCTTATTTCACAATGTCTAGGGAAAAAGGAACTGCTTCTTCCCATGTGTCTGTTTTCATCAAAGAAGAAATGAAATACCATTGACCAGAGCTGTATCATGTGTTCGTGAATAAGCCAGTTGCAGACAAAGGGAATGGGAAAATATTATTGGCACTGTGGATGGGACCAGCCTCCTCTAAAAAGAGGCCATATGAGGGAGAGGGAATATCTGAGGACAGCAGTTGGGAAGGTAACCAAGAACTCTGTCCAGTGTTAGCTTCATGGCTGTGCATCTTGTGCAGTTGCACAGATCCCACTCCCAGAAAATCCCTGTTGTTAGTTTAATGCTCTGCTATCATGACATTTCTCCTCCTCCTCCTCCTCCTCATCCTCCTTCTTCTCTTCTTCCTCTTCTCCTCCTTTTCCTCCTCCTCCTCCTCCTTCTCCTTCTTATTCTTTTATATGGAGTCTCGGTCTGTCACCCAGACTGGAGTGAGGTGGCACAATCTCAGCTGATTGCAGCCTCCGCCTCCCTGGTTCAAGTGAGTCTCCTGTCTCAGGCTCCTGAGTAGCTGGGACTACAGGCATGTACAACCACGCCTGGCTAATTTTTTGCATTTTTGGTAGAGATGGAGTTTCACCATGTTGGCCAGGCTGGTCTCAAACTCCTGAGTTCGAGTGATTCGCCCGCCTCAGCCTCCCAAGGTGCTGGGATTACAAGTGTGAGCCACTGCACCTGGCCTATCATAATATTCTTAATAAGTTCTGAATAAGGGACCCTAAAAATTATGTGGTCTGTCTTAGTTCTGGCACATCAAATAATTATGCCAGGAGATTGTAGAGTGTCATCTTCATCTTTTTCATTTTCATCTTCCCTTGGAGAATTGTGAAATAAAATTTTGCTGTGCAGAAGTGAAGCAAAAGAAGCCAAGAGAAGGTGGAAGGTAGTAGCTACTTATGTAAAGAAGAAGCAGTCAGTGCAGATGTGAGCAGTTAAAAAGAGAACAGAAGGGATGGAAGACAGAGAGCGGAAAAGACAAGAGAGACACATACCTTGGGGATGAGCCAGAACAGGCCAACATTTTCTTCCTAGGGGGCTTACGCCAAAGAAGATTGCTTTCTCTTGGAATTGTAATCTTTGTCTAGGCAAATGCTGTGATTAGCTTTATAGCTGTTTAATGATCCTTATGTTTGCTTACAGTTTCTGTTTATTTTTAATCTTTCTGTCTTTCTCTCTGTGTCTCTTTTTAACTCTTTGTTTCCTTTCTCATTGTATTCCTTGTTTTTTTCCTACTCTCTTTAGTTTTTCTGTTCCAGGGCTGCTTTCCTCACATCAGTTATAGCTTCTCTCCTCTTTTTAAGAATAGGTTCTACTGTTAGGTAAAAGGGACCTACCTTCCCTGAATGTGAAAGGCTTGGTGAGAACATGGAACTTGAGCTGAACCCTAATGAAATCCTCTGACCTACTACAGGAATGCAGCATACTTCTCATTGCTGTTTCCATGGTTGACCCCCGGAGTCACCCCCATTTCCAGGAGCGGGTATGTGAGATAAACCTGGTCAATCAGTCCAGTCCAGTCCTTGGACTTGGTGATTATTTGAGGCGTGGACACCTTCCTCAACCATCTTGTAAGTAAAATTTAGCTCCGATGTATCTTCCAGAACCACTGGTAAAGAGGTGCTCACTACATTCTGGAGTTCAGAAACTGATACGTTATAAACCTGGAGCTGCTGGCTGACACTTTTCTCATGACTTGGTTAGAGCCTAAGAATGAAGGCAGCACAGAAGACAGCAGAGCTGAGAGGCGGAGAAAGATTTAAAATATATATTCAGCTTTTGTTTTAGATTCAGGGGGTACATGTGTAGATTTGTTACATGAGTATATTGTATGATGCTGAGGTTTGGGATACAAATGATTCTGTCACCCAGGTAGTGAGCAGAGTACTCAATAGGTAGGTTTTCAACTCTTGCCCCTGTTTCTTCGCTCCCCTATCTAGTAGTCCCCAGGGGAGAGACAGATTTGTAATGACAGTATTTTAGCACTCAAGTTCATGTGAGCCTGAACTCTCACCCAGACTTTCAGTTATGAGAACCGACTAATTCCCTTTTTTATTTAAATCTATTTAATCAGGTAACTTTTAATTTAAAGAGATCTTACTGATACACATCACTGCCACCACTAGACAACAAACCCGTGCAAGTATTTTCAGCCACTTTCTAGGAAAAGATGTGTTTTCAAGGAAACTTTGTTATCTTTCCAGTTGTTTAAGACTTAGAACAATAACGAACAATAAACATAGCCCATGCTTAGGAACATGCCTTCTGACTCATCTGGACTAATCAGACCCAGAGGATTCAATCAATCAGAACTGAGCGGGGTCTGCTCATCTGCTGCCTGCCAGGTGGAGAGGATTGTTTGTCCTCACAAGTTAGCAGAACTCCGGGAGGCAGCACAGTTGAAACTGATGTGACACTTGGTAAACAACACAGACCAATTGAAAAGGTGACTACACCAAAAATCGTTAACTCATATACATGGCAGAAATGACTTCAGGCAGGGGAGAAGGTGAAAAGGACAGAGATTCTTAATCAGGTTATGAAAAAACAATCTCGATAAAGAGGCAACATTAGAAAACAAATTTTATTCTCTTAGAACTTGCACATAGCCTCCCATTTCACCTGCTCTCGAGTTCCATTAGCTTTCTTCCCTGTAGAAATAAAAATGAAAATAAGACAGACAAAAAAATTATTGTTGTTAATCATCATTTAGGCTAAAGTCTATTTTCTGGCAATCAGCCCCATTAACTACAGATACTTTTTGAAGAATAAATATATTTCTAAATTATATTCATTATCTTAACGTCACCACTATCCCAGATTCCAGCATTTCAAATTCCTAAATTTAGGAAGCAAATTATCGTTGTATATGCTTTATTTTACAAAAGTTCAATGTATACAAACCCTCACTTTTTTCTTTCTTTCATGGATAAACTTCTCAAAAGTTGTTCTACATTTACAGTCACCTCTTCTTCACTTCACTGCCCTGCTTCTGGACAGCTGGACCCGCCTATAACACCTTGAAGGCAAATCGGGAAAACCCCACTGGAGCTCTCTGAAATTCCCCAACTTCTCTTTCTGTGTTGCAACTTGCTTTCCTTGAAACCTTCTGTTCCCACCTTGTATCCTTAATCTGCAGCTCCAGCTTAGACCCCTTGAGACTTGACTTCCCTACGGCTTGAAATCTTGCTTTACTTAAGTGACTATAATCTGATTCCCTTCTCTGTTTCCCACACATGCATCTCTTTTTCTGCTTTGAGGAGGAAATTCTGCCCTGAACTTTAGTGCTAAGGAACCCACCCCAGACAACGCAAAAGGCAGGGTGGGGTGAGTCAGAGTGTCTGGAGGCCCAGGCAGGTGAGGATAAGGGCTGGCAAGGGGGAGAAAATTTGAATCCCACTTTCAATTCACTTCTCTAGTACTCTGGCAGAGTCAACAATGACCTTGTATCTGTTCAATCCTGTGAAAACCTTCCAGAAACCAATTATGCTAGACTTCCCTGGACCTTCTGATATTATTGACATTTCTCTTTCCTGAAATAGTCTTCTCCTTTGGCATTTTTCCTCCTTAGGCCTCTAAACATACACCTTCTCCTGCTTATCTTTCTTTTCCTCTAACCATTCCTTCCTTTTCAGGTTCCCCTGGTTCTACATTTACTCCTCTTCTCTTTTCACTTCACTGATCTTCCCAAGTCATTTCATCCATCTCATGCATGACTTTGACCTATACCTCCGTGCCCAGTGTAGGTGCAGGTCAGACCTTTAATTCTGTCCTGTTCTTTCTTCTGAGTCCCAGACTTGTGTATCTGATATGTATACTGAACAACTCCACATGGATACTCACAGATTCCTCCTCCAAGATGCTCAATACCTTACTCATTAAATCCATTCCTCTTTATCTGCCACCAAGTTACCCTTCATCCTACATTCCCTATTTTAGTAACTGGCATAACAGTCCCTCAATAGTGCAATTCAGAAACCTGTGAGTGCCACTAAAATGCAAGTCCTGTCAACTCAACCTCCCAAATAACTCTGCATCTCCTCCACTATATTAGGCTCTTGTTTTCCTTGCCTTAACTACTGCAATGACTCCACAGCAAGACTTTGTGTCTCTAGTCACTTTTCCTTCTAACTTACCCCGCAAGTGGCTCTTGGAGTTATTGTAATAAAACAAAATCTTATCACATCACTCCTTTACTGCAAGCCAGTTGATGACACTCTATAACCAATGAGAAAAACATGCTTTAATACATCTCTTAGTTCATATGCTGTTGCTTATAATGAATGCCTGAAACTAAGTAACTATATTATAAAGAAAAGGAATCTATTTGTTACAGTTTTAGAGGCTAAGAAGTCCAAGGTCAAGGAGCCACATCTGGTGAGGGAATTCTTGCTGAAGAAGAGTCCCCAGGTGGCACAGGGCATTGCATAATGAGGGGACCAAGCATCGTCATGTGCTAGCTCGGGTCTTTCTTTTTTCCTTTTATGAAACTACCAGTTCCCCTCTTATGATAACCCATGAATCCATTCGTCCATTCATGAGGGCAGACTCCCATGATCCACCTCTTCAAGGCCCCACTTCTCAATACTTTCACACTGGGGATTAAGTTTCAACATGAGTTTTGGAGGGAACATTTAAAGCACGACAATAGTAAAGTCCAGCATCATCTGTACTTTGCTCTCCTTTATCTTCTTTTTTTAATGCTTTTTTTATTTTGAGACAGAGTCTCACTCTGTTGTCCAGAGGTTGAGTGAAGTGGTGCAATCATAACTAACTGCAGGCTCAAACTGTTGGACTCAAGCAATCCTCCCACCTTAGCCACTCAAGTAGCTAGGAATGCCACTATGCCCAGCAAAAAAAAAAAAAGAAAAAAAAAGAAAAAAATATATATATAGAGAGAGAAATGAGGCATCTCGCTATGTTGCCCAGGCTGGTCTCAAACTCCTGGCCTCAAGCAATCCTCCCTCATTGGCCTCCCAAACTGCTGGGATTACTGGTGTAAGCCACCATGCCTGGCCCCATATTTTCTTCATAACCTTCTTACTTAAACACAGCTAGTCTTAAAGAACATTTTTTTCTAGTTCCATTCGTTCACTCAAGACTTTAAGACTACATTGCCCTAAAAGAAATTGAGATTTGTGTTTCATTTCTCAATGACACAATTTCATTTACCTTTTATGGATGAATGCATACATTATCATACATTGATGGCATGAGGGATGAAAAGATAACTCACAAAGTACCCCCAGCAAGGCCCCGCATTAAAACAGTGCTGGTCAGACAATACTCAGTATGTAACTTATTATTTCATACAACTATCTTCACAATTTGGTCCTCTCTACCTATGGAACTTTATCTCCTCCAGCTCTTCCTCTTCACTCTGATTTCTAAAAATAATCTCAGGTTTATTTTTAAATACAAAGACCCCTTAGTATACTTGATTATAATTTAATTTATAAAGATCTAATAGCCATAAAACTTTTGGGGTGAAATATATTACATAAAGCTGGGCATACTATACAAATATGTATTAACATTTAGATTTCTCTTTGCAAAGGCCTATATGTTCTGTGACCAGAAAGAATATAAAAAATTGTACTAAGATTGACTCACTCTACTAACTAAAAAAACCTTTGAAGGCAATAAAACGTTTGCCTATTGGAAAGCACCTAAAGAGAGCTTCAGGTAACCTTACTGGAAGAAGGAGTTTCCTGGGCTCTCCTTGCAGAGGAAATCACAAATCTCCTCATGGAGAACCAAAGAGAGATGTCAAGTCTGAGTCAGAGAGTGAGAGCATTTCTTTTTTTTTGTTTGTTTGCTTTTTTTTTGTTTTTTGAGACAGAGTCTCACTCTGTCGCCCAGGCTGGAGTGCAATGGCACAATCTCGGCTCACTGCAAGTTCCGCCTCTTGGGTTCAAGCGATTTTCCTGCCTCAGCCTCCCGAGTAGCTAGTACTACATGCCACCACGCCTGGCTAATTTTTTTATTTTTAGTACAGACAGGGTTTCACCACATTGGCCAGGTCAGTCTCAAACTCCTGACCTTGTGATCTGCCCACCTTGGCCTCCCAAAGTGTTGGAATTACAGGCGTGAGCCACCGTGCCAGGCCCAAAGCTGATGTTTTTATAGTGAAAACTTGAATACACTTATTAATTCATTTAAAATAATAGTATTCAATTTTATAATGGTAAATATGAAAATATGAAGCTTATGTTCTACTAGAAAAGAAAACAACAATCAAAATAAATATGACAATTTTTGAAAGTGATAAGTGGCCTAAAGGAAATAAATAAGTGGTATGACAATACTAATAACAGTTAACATTGATCAAATACTTTTTATATGCTGGTACTATTCTTTACATGTAATCTTGTAATGTAGGTAGTATTATTAGCCCCATTTTATGCATGAAAAAACTGAGTTACATGGAGGTTAAATAACTTGTCCAAAGTCACGCAGCTACAAAATAACAGAGTGAGAATTTGAAGTGAAGTTGTTTCCTGTGTATTAAATCAATCATCTTGATGAAAACAACTGAAATACTTAAAAGAAACATTTTAAAATTATCAAAATGATAACAAGATAGTTTTTTTTTTTTTTTTGAAGGCCTAAGGTCAAGGGAAAATGAGAACTCTGGAAGGTAAATGGGTTGAGGAGAAATGGGTACAGAAACTGCTTTTGCTCTGAAGTCATTTGTCAATCTGGATAAATTAGAAGCTTTGTTTTGAAGGCCTTGCTGGGCAAGGGAGATGGCATGATGTGGAGAATTCGTAGAAGATCCTCTCCTAAATAAACTGGAAGCTCCCCTCCACAGAGCTGCACACTCAGGACAGGCATGAACCAGAAGTGAGCCAGCTTAGGAAGAAAATTTAAACCCCTGATTTAATTGCTATCTCAAGACTTCCACTTAGTTTAAGGTGAAAGTGCCCCCCAGAAGCCTAGACGAAGCAAACAAAAATTATTTCAAACTAAAAGATTAGTGGGCCTTCACCTGTGGGACTCAAATTGTTTACAAATAATTTTTCAAATACAATGTTCTACACACAAAGGAAACCAGCAACATAAAGAAACTAGACTTGAGTAAGAATCAAAAATAATAAAAACACAGACCCCCCCCCACCCCAACAAAGACTTCAGAGGCAAACAGTGAAAGAACTATGCTCACCATGTAATATAAATGAAGATAAGCTTGAAGACATCTGTAAGAAACAGAAAACTATAAAATGTTGCAAAGTGGAGTTTTTAAAAACCTGATCTTCTAGAAATACAATATATGACAACTAAAACTGTAAAAATGTCAATGAATTAGTTTGATGCCAGATTAACCTAAAAAGCTGAAGAGAGAATTAATGAACTGAAATACAGGTTGGGAGGAATTATCCAGAGAACTGTATGGCTAGATATAGGGCTGGAAAATACAGAGGAAAATGAAAGAGAATTAGAGGATATTAGGAAAAGTTCTAGGCTAACATAAATTTAACTTAAGCTTGTCCAATGTGTGGCCCATGGGCCACATGCAGCCCAGGATGACTTTGAATGCAGCCCAACACAAATTTGTAAACTTTCTTAAAACATTATGAGATTTTTTTGTGATTTTTTTTTTAGCTCATCAACTGTTGTTAGTGTTAGTATTCTGTGTGACCCAAGACCATTCTTCTTCTTCCAGTGTGGCCCAGGGAAGCCAAAAGATTGGACACCCCTGGTTTAACTGCTATTCTAAAAGGAGGCACAGAGGCAATATTTGAAGACATAAAGGCTAAGAATTTTCTAGAACTAATGACAGACCCCAACCTACAGAGTCAAGAAACTCAATGAATCTCAAGAAATATTAATACAGAACTCCCTGCTTATCCACAGTTTCACTTTGCATGGTTTCAATTAACCACAGTCAACTGTGGTCCAAAAATATTAATGGGAAATTTCAGAAATAAGCAATTCATAAGTTTTAAATTGCATGCTATTCTGAGTAGCATGATGAAATCTTACATCATTCCATTCCATCTCGCCCACCTGGGATGTGAATTATCCCTTCATCCACGTATCCATACTGTATACTACCCACCTGTTAGTCACTTAGCAGCCGTTTCAGTTATCAAATAGACCGTCATGGTATTGCAGTGCTTGTGTTCAAGTAACACTAGTTTTACTTAATAATGGTCCCAATGTGCAAGAGTGGTGATGCTGGTGATTTGTATGTGCCAAAGAGAAACCATAAAGTGCTTCCTTTAAGTGAAAAGGTAAACATTCTCTACTTAATAAGGAAAGAAAATCATATGCTGAAGTTACTAAGATCAGTTCAGTTATTGTTGTTAATCTCTTACTGTGCCTCATTCATAAATTAAACTTTATCGTCGGTATGTATGTACGTATAGGAAAAACCATAGTATATATAGGGTTCTGTACTATCCACTATCCATACAGGGGACTTCTCTATCAAGAGATCTACCCTTAGACAAATCAGAGTGAAACATCAGAAAACCAAAAACAAAGAGAAATCTTAGAAAGCTTCCCAAGAAGAAAAGACAGATTGCCTTTGAAAGAACAATAACCTGTTAGCTGACTTCACGGCAGTCAGTGAAATGACTGTCTTCAGTGGGCTGAGAGGTGTGCAGAGGTCTGATGGTGTTGGGGCCTATAGACCATGGTAAGAAATTTGCATTCTAATAAAGCCAAAGCCATTAAAAGGTTTGAGCAAGACATAATCTGATTTAAGTTTTACAAAAGTCACTATGGCTATTTTGTAAAGGAGGAATTTAAGGGAGGAAATGATAGATTCAACATAAGGGCTGTTGCCATAGTCTGTACAAGAGAAACACTTAAAGAATATTAATATATAAATAGATATCAACCAGAAAAATGGATTCATCTTGGCCATATCTTAACACTGTTATTCAAGGTGTAGATAAAATTATAATAATGAGCCTATCAAATCTGTAGATCATGTACAGTTTTGAACAAGGGAGACCACTTTACGTGACAAAGTCAGTACCCAAGAAGTCTTCAGCTTCTTGGTGTGATGGAATAAATGAAACAAGCTGAAATTAAACAGAGTAAATGTGATATAGGAGTGACAGAACTTAGTACAGCTCATAGAAGAAAACAAGAAAGGTTTTCTTTGACAAGATAAGTGAACAGCGATTTCAATCTTGGACTCATTAATCATTCTACATAATAGTACACATTTCTTCATACAACTTAGACCAAACCTTGTCCCCAAA